GTGGACTTTTACCAACCCGAGATTGGATCTCCGCAAAGGGTGGGCGCTGGACACTCTCTGGACTCAGGACTACCACGAGCTGCCCCAATTCGACCTATTTTATTATTGTCCCCAGGAGCTGGGGGTAAAGGGCAACAAGCACCAAGATCCCAAGGGGCCCCAGTGTTGGGAGTAACAGAAAAAGACACAGTAATACAGGTGAGATATTCTCATTTTCTCCCCAACTCGTATCCTTGTATAACTCACAGTATGCACTTTGGCACAGTCACCTGAGAATATTTCTTAAACTGCTTCTTCCCAATCTGCTCCACAAGAATCACCTCCGGTTTCGAGTCATTCATAAATTCTTAATATCTGTGTCATACTGCAGAAGTGTGATTGATGTGGGATAGGGCCCTCTACGTGTGTCACTGTGTCACTCTGCAGGGTAGAGACGGATTCATAGCGGCCCCTGTCCTTGTCACTGTGTCGCCCTGCAGCGGGAGGGACAGACTCATAGCGCCCCCTGTCTGTGTCACTGTGTCACCCTGCAGGGGGAGGGACAGATTTATAGCACCCCCTGTCTGTTATCACTTTGCAGGGGGAGAGGCAGATTCATAGCGCCCCCTGTCTGTGTCACTGTGTCACCCTGCATGGGGAGGGACAGATTTATAGTGCCCCCTGTCTGTGTCACTGTGTCACCCTTCACAAGGGACAGACTCATAGCGCCTCCTTTCTGTGTCACTGTGTCACTCTGCAGGGGGAGGACAGACTCATAGCGCCACCTGTCTGTCACTGTGTCACCCTGCAGGGGGAGGGACAGATTTATAGTACCCCCTGTCTGTTATCACTTTGCAGGGGGAGAGGCAGATTCATAGCGCCCCCTGTCTGTGTCACTGTGTCAGCCTGCATGGGGAGGGACAGACTCGTAGCGCCCCCTGTCTGTGTCACTGTGTCACCCTGCAGGGGGAGGGACAGATTTATAGTGCCCCCTGTCTGTGTCACTGGGTCATCCTGCATTGGGAGGGACAGACTCGTAGTGCCCCCTCTCTGTGTCACCCTGCAGGGGGAGGGGCAGACTCATAGCGCCCCCTGTCTGTGTCACTGTGTCATCCTGCATGGGGAGGGACAGACTCATAGCGCCCCCTGTCTATGTCACTGTGTCACCCTTCAGGGGGAGGGACAGACTCATAGCGCCCCCTGTCTGTGGCTCTATATTAAATCTTGCTTTTTCCACACAGATCACTCCCCCTGCATCTCAGCCTCAATCTGGCTTACCGTCCCCAGCACCGACTACCCCCAGCGACTCTCATCCCAAGCGGCCAATTTCAGATGTGTTTAATGAACGACTCATTCTTGCTCGCTCTGTTTTCGGCCTGGGAGAAGATAGTGAGCATGACAGGTAAGCATGCACTTACACTAATAACACACAGGCTGCACTCACACTAATAATACACGGGCTGCACTCACTAATAACACACAGGCTGCACTCACACTAATAATACACAGACTGTACTCACACTAATAACACACGGACTGCATTCACACTAATAATACACAGGCTGCACTCACACTAATAACACACGGACTGCACTCACACTAATAATACACGGGCTGCACTCACTAATAACACACAGGCTTCACTCACACTAATAACAGAGCCCACACCACCGTTAATCACACTTTCTCGATGGCGGCGTAGCTCACCTCATGTGGTAGTAACTTTCTGCTGAAGTAGGCTACCCCCGACCTGGCTCAATACTGCTCCCAATCCAAACATCACACTCAGCCATAACTGTATATAGCTTTCTAAATATCACTCAGCCATAACTGTATATAGCTTTCTAAATATCACTCAGCCATAACTGTATATAGCTTTATACATATCACACTCAGCCATAACTGTATATAGCTTTATACATATCACACTCAGCCATAACTGTATATAGCTTTCTAAATATCACTCAGCCATAACTGTATATAGCTTTAAATATATCACACTCAGCCATAACTGTATATAGCTTTATACATATCACACTCAGCCATAACTGTATATAGCTTTATACATATCACACTCAGCCATAACTGTATATAGCTTTCTAAATATCACTCAGCCATAACTGTATATAGCTTTCTAAATATCACTCAGCCATAACTGTATATAGCTTTATACATATCACATTCAGCCATAACTGTATATAGCTTTCTAAATATCACTCAGCCATAACTGTATATAGCTTTATACATATCACATTCAGCCATAACTGTATATAGCTTTCTAAATATCACTCAGCCATAACTGTATATAGCATCATACATATCACACTCAGCCATAACTGTATATAGCTTTATAAATATCACTCAGCCATAACTGTATATAGCTTTATACATATCACACTCAGCCATAACTGTATATAGCTTTATACATATCACACTCAGCCATAACTGTATATAGCTTTATACATATCACACTCAGCCATAACTGTATATAGCTTTATACATATCACACTCAGCCATAACTGTATATAGCTTTCTAAATATCACTCAGCCATAACTGTATATAGCTTTAAATATATCACACTCAGCCATAACTGTATATAGCTTTATACATATCACACTCAGCCATAACTGTATATAGCTTTCTAAATGTCACTCAGCCATAACTGTATATAGCTTTAAATATATCACATTCAGCCATAACTATATATAGCTTTATACATATCACACTCAGCCATAACTGTATATAGCTTTATACATATCACACTCAGCCATAACTGTATATAGCTTTATACATATCACATTCAGCCATAACTGTATATAGCTTTATACATATCACACTCAGCCATAACTGTATACATATCACACTCAGCCATAACTGTATATAGCGTCATACATATCACACTCAGCCATAACTGTATATAGCGTCATACATATCACACTCAGCCATAACTGTATATAGCTTTATACATATCACACTCAGCCATAACTGTATATAGCTTTATACATATCACACTCAGCCATAACTTTATATAGCTTCATAGATATCACACTCAGCCATAACTGTATATCGCTTTCTAAATATCACTCAGCCATAACTGTATACATATCACACTCAGCCATAACTGTATATAGCGTCATACATATCACACACAGCCATAACTGTATATAGCGTCATACATATCACACTCAGCCATAACTGTATATAGCTTTATACATATCACATTCAGCCATAACTGTATATAGCATCATACATATCACACTCAGCCATAACTGTATATAGCTTCACAGATATCATAACGTCTAAACGCTCTCTCTCCCCCTCCCCCCCAGCAGCTCCAGTAACAATCTGATAGCCATCGACAACAAAATCGAACAAGCTATGGTGAGTGTGAAAACCTTTACTCTGTCACTACACCGCTATCCACTTCCTCCGCTATTCCTGTACTTCTTCACTACACCGCT